AGAGAAAGAGAGACGGAGCGATACAAGAGCGGAGTGTGTGTGTGTATCTTTCCTCTCTTTCTAGCTCTCGTTCGCTCGGTTTACTGCCTTCTCACTTAATAGGTTATTTGCTATGTCTTATTTTGCGTTTTACTTATGTATTAATTGTTAAATCAATAGTTACCATTTTTGCTAAATTTGGTTTTTGTGTGGTTTTCTTTATTTAAAAAAAGAACGGTTGTTTTGTTGGACTGTTGTCGGGTTTTCTTTTTCGTGTTTTAAATAAACTTTTTTTCTTTTCTTTTTTTTTGATTTGCTTTTTTTCTTGTTTGCCCTTTTTTTTTCTTATTCGGCTTTTAGTAATCCCTTGGATGACGAATTTGTGCAAACAAGAGGTTATACAGTTCTACACTAGTACACTATTAGTAATTAGTATTTTTTTGTTGTTGTTGTTTTAATTAACACACTGGGATCCAGGTTTTCCAAAACACGAGAAAGTTCGATTGGATATTTTCAAATCGAAATTGAATTTTCTCTATCTTTATCTAACGAAAAAAATTGTGTCGCGTTACAAACGTTTTCGTACAACCGAAAAATCTTGCGGTGTGTGTGAAATATTGTGACGAGAGTAAACACAGAATAAAAAGACAAGTCCGAATGGCTTGATGATTCAAGTGCAACTGATTATTTGTAATGTTTCGAATTGCTGCGACAGGAACGCGTTTTTTTCTTCTTCTGTCTTCTTGATTCGCTTGTTCATGTATCGCGTAATATGGTGCTGTGCTGCTATGCTGATGTATATGAGCAATCGGTCCGCCATACTCATCATTTTCATTCGTATGTACACGCACCAATACCCATGCAAACGATTTTGTGCGCATACACACCAATTTTGACTGGTTTATGTCGCAAGAGAGCGAACGGCATAGCAGAGAGAGAACTAGAACTGCGGCATTCAACGCACACCAATGCATGGCACAGCAACAAGACACGATGAAGCAACACATAAACACGAACACACACACACACATACACTGACATCGTGAGAACGGAAATTGGCGCGTTTGGTTCGCTATACAATAGGGTGATATTGTGACTACAGCCGAACAATTTCAACATCAACGTCGAATTCGTGGAATTCGAAAATGACGTTAATTCGCCATGTTTAAGCCTGATTGTCTTTTCGTTTGGTCATCGAGCCAGCCTCGATTTGATGTTGTTTCGGTTTTTAATCGCGTGAAATTTCTACATTGGAAGAAATGATGCCCCCCCAAAAAAATGACAATCCATTGATATAAATTCGAAATGAGAAACACGAATTCGATTATTTGGACCAAATTCCTTCTGATGATGTTTTCATTCGATTTTTTCCATGGAAAAATGTTTCATTCCGTCTGGTTTTTGAATTGAGAATCGAATCACACTTTTAATTTCATTGAATTTTTTCAGAAAAAAATGTATTCGTTGGAAAAATGTTGACCAGATTACTAGTCATGTTTCCAGGAATGGTGTTTCGCTATTTGAATATCACCCTATGGAACAACATAGCCCGTGTGATTGTATGTGTGCTGGTATTCGAATCGGTTCAAATGGCAAACACGCATACACGAGCTCACAGCAATCCATACAGCAGCATTCCTGTCAGAGCCCATACACACCAACAGCAGCAGCAGCAGCAGCAGCAGCCCGAATGGCAGACGCAGTGCACATGCCATACGAGCAAAAATTGGACCGCTCGGGTGTTTTATTGGAACGAACAAAATACAACGGGCAAGCCAAGCATAGTGAGCCAAATATACATCTACGTATATGTATTCATATTCCAAATATCCATTTTACGCGAGAAGTACCATACATCAGCTTTCATAATAGCAACAATAAAATGGTCAAAATTATGGGAAGAGAATCCAAGAGAAAAACATATAGCGCATACATATATGCGCGCTTGCCTAAATAAACTGCTAACTCAGCGACAATCGAAAGCAAAAATCCAATGAACTGGCACAAGCACGAACAAGCCAACGAAATAGAAAGAACACGAAAGGAAGAAGAGAAAAAAATGCGCGCACACACACAGTACACACTATAAACAAATCTTGGCTGTTTTCAATTAAGATCTCATTCCATGCCATCGAAGTTAATATCTATTTAATCGTTGTTGTCCTGTGTATGTTTCTCGATTTTTTTTTTCTCGTTCGTCACACTTTTGATCTGTCAATTGTTCTTCGTGTCATAATACACAAGAGCAAGAGAATATTTGGTCGTTTTGTATTCGACGGCATGAAGACGATCGACCGAAAAAAAGGCAGACGCGCGTGCGTACACACATTGTCATTTGCATGGGTATGCGTGTGCATGCTTGCGTGTGTGTATGCATTCTAATTGGCGTTTTTTGAATTTTCAACAGTCATTTTTTTTTGCCTCATCAGTTCATCGTGCATTCGAGCACATCTGCATTTGTACTCCCGCCAAAAATGCCACATTCCTTGCTTCATGCCGACAGACCGAAAAAAAAACAACATACACATCAATAAATAATTGCGGTTTCGATTAAACTTTTATTTTTCATTTGCAATTATATTAATTTGATACCGTATTTTATGCAGAGCTCGAGCGGCTGATGAGAGAACGAAAGAGAGAGCGAGAGAGAGAGAGAGAGAGAGAGAGAGAGACCAGTGAATAATAATTTAACGGTCGAATAAATGCTCATGTCATTTGATTGGTAAATTAATCCACTTTTAAATGAATACATGCGCCGCAATTAATCGTTCTATCAAGGAAATAGACGATCAAAAATGGTTACGTAAAAAGAGTATTTAAATTGCAGCAAAAACAAAAACACATAAATCTTTTTCTTTTCGATGACAACCATTTTCCAAATAAAACATGCTTTTCCTTCTACCCCAAACCAAATCGATTGATTCAATTAATTCAAGAGGTCGTTTCAATTATATCAGTTGGTTAAATGATAATGTTTCATGTGTATTTTTACCGGCGTTTATCCAGCGTGTGATGCTGTTAATAACGGTATTAAATGAAAAAAAAAAAGAAGCGAGCAATCAACGGATTAAGAGAGCGAAAAGGAAGATATACAAATGTAGAGATTGTCTAATTTATTCTCAATTTTGTTTTTGGAATTCAAGTGGTCTCACTTTCAATTTCCTCGAAACATTTTTCCAAATAATTCATCTGCTAATGGCGTCTTCATAAGCACAATGGCATGAAACACACAGTGCCGCATTCAACTGAACTTTATGATTATTTTTGAATCTAATTTGTGAGAGATAATTCGCCTCAATATTTGCGTATGGGTGCGGTTATGTAGAGAAATTTGGTATGTATGATGTCAATATGTGCGTTTTTTTTTCGTTCATTCTTTCATTCTTCCTTTCGTGCTGTTTGTTATGGCTGTGGCTGCTGCTGCTGCTGCTGCTGCTATTGCTATTTGCCATCGCTGTGGTTTTTTTTCTTTTTGGTTTTGTTTTGTTTCTTATGCCTTCAAATTCTCTTCCTCTATTTCACAGAAGAAAAAAACGCACACATTTCGCGTTCTGTCTATCGTTTTTATGCTGTATGTGTGTGTGTGTGTGTGTGTGTGTGTTGTGGCGGCGGGTTTCATTGGTGGTGCGTTTATAAGTTCATTTGATTATTAGTCACCCTGGTTGGCGGAAACCCGTAGATATGTTGCGGTAATTAAAATGCGCGTTCCAACGTATTCAAATAAACTGCGTAAAACATAAATATATACAATGGATGGCACAACAACCGCACTAGCTCATCGCTGTGTGTAGAACACTGGAAGGAGATAGCATGGGAAAGAGAAGAAGAGAGAGAATGAGGCCCCATCAATGATGCCAAAATCAGTAAGCACCCTGAAACAATGTGTGTATGTGAGTGAAGCAGAGAGAAAGAGTGCGGGAGACCACACAGACTGAAAGAAGATTTCCATATCGCAGGGGCGAATAAATAAGCTTCCATCAAAATATTTCGAGTGGATTATTAAGGGAATGTATGTACCGTTTAGTTCAGTTGTTCACTTGAGAATGTTGAATGAGCTTGATTTTTGCCCATTTGATTTGCTTGCTATTTCTTTTGTCGCGTTGCGTTGCTTCCATGCTTCATCTTTTTTTTTCTGTGATTCTTTCTTCTCTGTTCGCTTTTTTTGTTGTTGTATGAAATGTTGCGAGAATGAAATGGAGGCGTTTTGGCTCGATATATCGATTCGCTATGGATGATTCTTGCCGCATTTTATAAAGCTTAAACATCCATTGAAGGTTGGATATGAGCGAGAGAAAAAACATAAACACACACACATATAGTTCGGTTTTTTTCTCTTTCATATGACAAAGTTATGCTTTTCCAACTTCATTGTTATTGTGTGTTCAATACATTTGGCCTAGATAGCTCCGGTTGAATACAATAATCGAACCATTACATCGAACGAGCGCGTTCGTTCGAAGCATTTCATACGGTGGCTATATACTGTTTGCTGAAAAATTTCTTCGTCGGCTTCACTCGGGCGCGTTTGGCCTTTAGAACAATGAAGTTTCAACTCAAGTTGAAGCTCGCTTCATACTGATGATCACACAGAAAGGGAGGTGGAAAGACGAACAACAACAACAATAAAAAAAAAAAGAGAAATAAAGCAGGAGCAAGGCGAAAAAAAAACTGGGTCTATTTTTTTTTGTTCGTAGTCTGCGTATATACGCCACACAGTACACATATGCGAAACATATTCGAGGCAAACTCAAATTGTATACATAATGAGCAGTGGATTTGATGTGGAAACACACGCTTTTATTGAGCGGAATAGTGATCATCTTTTGCTGCTTTTGCATTACGAATAACGAATTGATTTTGCCATATGCCCATAGAATCGATTATGATATCAACATCGATAAAACATGTAGTATGCGCGTACTTGTGTGAGTTTTGGTCGCTTCTAGTTTTTTTTTTTTCGTGTGTATTGTGGTCCTGTTTCACTTTGCGTTCTCTTTCTCTGGTATGCGCTTTTTGATTGGTAGCGAAGAGAAAACAGCAAAGAAATCGCTGGAAAAAAAAAACAAAACGAACGCTTCAATAGCAGCAAAAATCAAAATCCATGCACACACACACATACGCGCGTGCACGCACAGACACGCACACATAACAATGGCCGTGGAGTGCTTATAGCGAACACAGCAGTGATACAGCCACATAACAATGTTAAAAATTCATAAAGGATATTAGCTTTAATTTGGATATTCATCACGTGGATTGCATCGAAATGTCTACATTTCTACCCTCGTGGAGGAGCAACGCGCTTGTTTTTGTTGCTGCTGCTGTTGTCGAAATGAATTAATTTTCGAACAAATGGTTTCCGACTTTTCTTCCGAAGTTCTTCATGTCAAATTAGCTATTCCCAAGTAATTTATAAACAACAGCGGTGCCGTGGATGAAGAAAAAAGGCACCACCACCACCACCAGAAGCAGCAGCATTGAAAAAAAATATGAACAGCAGTTCATTCGATAGATCGATGAAGACCGGTTTTGTATTGTGGAAAAATTCTCAATGTGGATTGGATACCACGAAATGCGTTTCGATTATGACATAAAAGTCAGTTTATGTTGCCATTTTGTCAGCTTATTGATGGCAATCAATCGATCATCTGTATATTTTCTAGCTTGATTTTCGTGCTGTGCCTGACTTGGTTTTATCAACAAATAAAAATACTTGACTGTGACTGATTGCAA